TGTCTTAAATGGCCCCTATAAATTAATATCTTAATTTTATTTTATATATAGCCTTACTTTGCAGAGCTTTACACGTGACCTTTATTTGTAATCTTTAATTTGATCAAAATGCTGTTAATTTAGAAATATGACATCATAAAGTTCACCTTTTCCCCCCATTTTAGCATATTTTGTATTTAAAAAAAAATGCTTATTTTCTTGTATATTTTCTTTCAGAAAATATTGAGCGCAAACTTGGACAAACTTCTATATTTTTACCAAAGATGTATCTATCCAAGACTAATTATTGACAGAAAAATTTTGCATGTTCTAAGCTGCGCTCTATGTTTCCCATAAAAAAAGTAGGGATGTCAAAATATTTATTTTCTTTAGTCGAATATTCGATTGCATTATTCGAACGATAGTCGAATATATTCGAATCTTTTTCGGGAAATAAAATTTTATTTCAAATCTCTTTGGTACATGACGTATTTTTAATCTCAAAACCGTTTTTTTTTTTTTTAAATTTATTAAAAAGTAACAACAAAATTAATGTTACACACCGATGTTCACATGCACCTAAAATGTGGATAGCGTGTTTATATTAACTAAAACTTGTCCATAAATCTGTCTGCAAAGACGTTTTAGTAAGCATAAAAAATGACAGTACTATATATTTTTTAAAGCTTATTAAAATAATTGGGGGAAGGGGGTTTAAAACACACGCTATCCACACGCCAGATGTCTGTAATAATGTTAAACAGCTGAACATGCTTTTTGTCCCGGCTATCAAAATGTCTTTGAAATTTGTAAAAGAATATTAATTTTATAATAATTATCGTAGTGTCCAAACATGTCACGGCTATAATGGGTACATCATTTGAGATCAAGTCCAATTAATAATTTTACAAACAAAGCCCAGTATACTGAGATAATTTTATTACAAAAACAACACATTAATTGACAAATAATTCACGCTTAAGTGAAGCATTTCTAATTACTGTACTATCTACATGTAAAGTCAGCAGACTTTAATGAGGAAAATTATCTTATCGACTGTGTCTGAGGAAAGATGGTTTCTCAATTTTAGGATGAGAATTCCATCTCTTTATAAATCTTTTATTTAATTTATTTATTCGAATGTCGTTTTGTTATTCGATTGTCGGTCCATTCGACTGATAGTTGAATAGTCGACTATTCGTTGACATCCCTAAAAAAAGTCAAGAAAAAGGCACATTTTTGTCTTATTTTGATTGGATTTTTTTTTAAAAAAGCATCATTTCTGACGTCATTTACAGCCAGTTAGGGCACTTAAATGTTAAAAATATATTTGAAATATCTCTAATATAATCTCTTCTACAAAATAAAAAACAATTATACATATCTGAATCCCATTCTGAAATGTTGATTTTGGGGGGCCAAAATTGACTCTTATCATATGTAGTCCTTTGTCAAAGTATAAGATATAGCTTTGAAAAAAATGTGTTACAGATTGTGAGAATTTATGACCTCTAACTTTTTCACCTCAAAATTAATAGGAATCTTCCTTACGTCATAGTGGGTTGTGATGTTAAATTTTGTAGAAGATCCCTCCTCCTCCCCCCCACCAAAGTTTTTATCCGGAAACTTTAATTTGTAATATATATGATTTTTTACCTTGACCTATGACATTTTGACGTTAAAATCAAAAAGGGATCTTCTTTAAACGATGAAGAGTTTAAATGTAAAACTTCATTGCAAAAGCTCAAATACTTTTAAAGATATTGCCAAAACGAAAGTGTTACACACAAACAGAATGAATGAATTTATGACCTTCACCTTTGACCATTTGACTTAAAATCAATAGGGGTGTTCTTTAGGCCATAGGGAATTGTGATATAGAATTTCATTACAAAAGCTTAAATCTTTGAGCTATCACCCGGAAACGAAAGTGTAAAACACATACAGAATATATGAATTGATGACCTTGACCTTTGACCTTTTGACCTCAAAATCAATAGGTCTTCTTTAGGCAATAGGTAGCTGTGATATAAAATTTCATTGTAAAATATCAAAAGCTTCTTGAGAAGCTCAAAACTATCGTTTTACACACAGACAGAATTTATGAATTGGTGTCCTTGACCTTTAACCTTTTGACCTCAAAATCATTAGGGGTCTTTTTTAGGCCATGAAGCGTTGAAATTCAAAACTTCATTCAATTATTTTTAAAGATATTGCCAAACGAAAGTGTTACACACATACAGAATGCATAAATTTATGACCTTGACCTTAGACCATTTGACGTAAAATCAGGAGGGGTTTTCTTTAGGCCAACGGGAGTTGTGATATAAAATTTCATTGCAAAAGCTCAAATATTCTTGACTTATCACCCGGAAACAAAAGTGTTACACACAGACAGAATATATGAATTTATGACCTTTACCTTTGACCTTTTGACCTCAAAATGATCAGGGCCTTCTTTACGCCATAGGTGGCTGTGATATAAAATTTCATTGTAAAAGATCAAAAACTTATTTATATATCATTTGGATACTATTGTTAATCTCACAGACAGAATTTATAAATTGGTGTTCTTGACCGTTAACCTTTTGACCTCAAAATCAATAGGGGTCTTCTTTAGGTCATAAGGTGCTGTGATATAAAATTTCATTGCAAAAGCTCAAATCTTCTTGAGTTATCACCCGGACACGAAAATGCTACACACAGAATAAATGTATGAATTTGTTACCTTGACCTTTGGTCTTTTGACATCAAAATCAATAGAGGTCTTCTTTTGGACATAAGAAGATGTGATATAAAATTTCATTGCAAAAGCTCAAAAGCTTGAAATATCGTCCGGAAACGAAAGTGTTACACACAAACAGAAATACAGACAGACATTAAATCAATATCCACAACTTTCAATGAAAGCGGGGTACAATTATAGTTCATTTTAACAACATCATAATCCAAATTTATTCTAACAAGAAAATTATTACTCATGAAATAAAAATCCCTTTTTCCAATGATAAAGTCAGTCGCCCGCGTGGCGCTGTGGTTAGAGCGTTTGCTCTAGAGTCGCGGAGTAAGGAGTTGATCCTTGCGTCGAGGGTTCGAATCCCGCTGCAGGACGCGGAGACCGGTCCTTCGGATGAGACCATATAAACTGAGGTCCCGTGTCGCAGTAGGTGCTGGCACGAAAAAGATCCCTCACTGCTCAGAGGCTGAAAGTGCCGAGTACAATTCTAAATTTGTAATCCTCCATCGGCATGTGGTGGCGTCTCAATATGAATGAAAAATTCTCGAAGCGATGTTAAACAAACAAACAAACACTGATAAAGTCACTGTAATTGCTACAATATAAATTCCGTGCTGGTTTAATAAACTTTCATTTATTTAACTATCAGTATTTAACTAAAATGATTATGATATGAGTAGATCCAAATTTAAAATGTTCAAATAATATGTCCTTTTTAAACCCTATAGGTTTACAAAGTGCAGGAGTATGGTAATTGTCGTCGTCGATTACAGTGTAATTTAAATCACTTATAAACTGAAATGTAAATTCAACTGAAACTGTTTGGATATGCATGCTCCCTCCCCCTCCTCAACAAAAAATTCTGAATTCCTACGGGCTTGTGTATGTAAAATCCAGGATCATGAAGCAGTCTTGGACTTATAATTTCTAATAATTTCTATAATTCATTAAATGAATGAAATATCTTGAGATAACGAACAGTATTCAAGCTCAAAACTCCATTAAACAATACAAATTTTGGAGCAGAGAAAACATGGACCTCTACAACATCAGAGGTGGGATCAGGTGCCATGGAGGAGTGAGCATCCCCTACCGACCGGTCACACCCGCTGTGTGCTCCTTTTCATGATCGGGAAATAACGGGAAAAGTGTGTAAATAATAGTCTAACAATTAGTATGAAAAACGTCAGGCAGCATGAAATATATGGAGATAACGAACAGTATTCAAGCTCAAAAGTCCACTAAACTTTACAAAATAGGAGCAGAGCAAACACGGACCTCCAAAACATCAAAGGTGGGATCAGGTGCCATGGAGGAGTGAGCATCCTCTGCCGACCGGTCACACCCGCCGTGTGCTCCTTGTAACGGAAAAATCCGTGGACAGTTCAGTGTGCAAATAATGGCCTAACAATTACTATGAAAAACGTCAGTCAGCATTTGACTTAATGATAAATTGTATTTGCTGACAAGGTCATTGTATCGACCATAGAACTTACGGAATAACGACTTTAACCAAGACTATTGACATTCTTGTTCCATCAACTTGTTTGTCAATAACTTACCTCGTTTTAGAAATTGTTCATACGTAGAGCATCGCGGCTCTTGCGTATTAAATCAACTGAGAGATATAATTTATTATTACATTAAATTAAGAATGTTTTTTAAAATTTTTTTTTAAAGGAATGTATAAAAGATACTTTACGCCAGCAGTTTAAACGGAATCATTCATTTTGCTAAAATTTTAGAATCAACTTTAAAGTTTGGGTTTTATTCAATGTTTTAATATAGTTCACGAGACACCTAAATTAAAAGCGTAAGTTCTCATCATTCTTATTTAATTTTTTTTTTAAAATCACATACGAACAAATATAACCATAGAAATATATTTTTATCATTATGAAATGGCTTAAAAACGTAAAAAAAAAAAAGTCGCTCGAAAAAAAGAATCATCAGAAAAGGTCTTCTAAAAATAAATGCTCTTCGCAGAGCCCTGCTCAGTAATTAAGAAAGAGCCCTGCTCAGTAATTAAGAAAGGAAGAAAAATGAACCCGTTAATGTCTTTTACCATGGCAAAAATACGTATTTTTTGTTTAATAGAAAATACGATCTGCGTGTCTATAATACGAATAAAGTGATCTTTATTGTATTTATTTATTTATTCATTCAATAGACTGTATCTCAAACACCAAATGCTTGCAGAACGCTTGAGTCGTAACTTCTCGGGTCGAACATGGTATGGGGACGTAAACACCTGTCACCTTCTAGATTGCGGGAAAAAAACTGGTGCCAGCACCCCCGAGGTCGTACACAATGTAACGTGATAGGGATGTCAATGATTTGAGCTGCACACATCATGATTTGTACAGCAAAGGTAAGAGGAGTTATTTGTTAAGAATAATTTGTTTAGATTTTTGTCGTACATGGTCACTCTCTACCATCGGCTCATACATTTATGTTTGAGAGAGGAACGAACGGCAACTCTGCATAGGAGATTGGTACATGGTTGTAAATTATTTATCGTCAATTCTCGTTACAAGTTTTTTTGTGGATTTCGGACTTACAATGTATCCCCATGATACAGCGCTGATTGTTGACCAAGTAAGTCCAACACGATTCCGGGGTCGGGTGAGTCCCAGTGCAGAGGACTTATAAAAAAGAATCTCTCTGATCTAAACTGACCTACAGTATAAATAGATCTTTCCTGCGATAAAGAGACGATTTGAAACCTCAGACCATAGTCAAGAACGATAACTCTATTCATTGTAAACAAGATCATACTAGACCATTTTAAAACATTTCATTTGTTCTTCTCTGTGATTTGTTTGTCACATATTTCATTATAAATGATAATACACGTGCAAGAATTAATATAGATCTAGATGTATTGTTTTTCTAATCAAAACTATATTTTCTTTTAAAAAAAACCCTTTTAGAATAATGAACTTAAACCTAGGTTTAACAGGTCCAGGAAAATCACTATATTTAGCTATATAGCTTAATTTACCTATATAGCTTTATTTACCTATATAATATAGCTTTATTTAGCTATTTTAGAATAAGTTTCTGTTTTATGAAAAGCAAACAAATATCGCATGAAAATTATGGCTGATATTTTTTTAAAAAGGTTTGATAAAAACAACCTAGGGCACAGATAGTGAAAACATTGCCTCTTTCAAACACTTTTTAACCAAAAAATGCATCTCTATTATTTGGATAGCTGTCCATTACTGGAAGTGCGATGAGGCATGACTAAGTGTGATTGCCTTGCATTGTGCTGAATTATTACCAGTCAATTACCTTGTTGACCAAAACTGCTTTTCTTTGTTAAAGTAGCTGCTTATTCACAGATTAACTGTTGTACATAGTCCCGAAACTTTTAGGTCTTTGATTGCAATTGCGCAAAAGGAGAAACATTTTTAAAAGTGGGTTTTTGGTGAATTGTTTTCAGTCCATTTCAAAGTTGAAAACTAATACTGCCTCATTATGCGACTTTTTGTCTGCTTTTCATAAAACAGAAACTTATTCTGAAATAGCTAAATAAAGCTATATTATATAGGTAAATAAAGCTATATAGGTAGATTTAGCTATATAGCTAAATATAGTGATTTTCCTAGACCTGTTTAATGTTTTTTTAACTGTAAAAAGTCCTGTGTATTGTAATCAAAAACTATGTTTGTAAATGTAAACAAATATAGGCTGATGTGATGTGTATATTTATAACGTGTTTGTAAACGTAAACAAATATAGGCTGATGTGATGTGTATATTTATAAGTAACTCCAGGTTTTTTTAATATAGGCAGTTTTGCATGATTCAACAGCTAACCCTTGTCTTGTTTTTATAAACACAGAGAGAATATAAATCCGTCTGCCTGCCCGCCTTCATTTTTCAGAAAAATTAGATGAGAATCTAGGAATTTTTTTATAATAGCCCAGACTTGTCAAAATTTTTAAATCATTATCAGACATTTGGTCTGACAAAGTCAAATGTTCTGTTGGACCAGTCAAAGTTTTATCAGACCAGATAATTATATGTACCTTATTTTGACGCTGTGAAAGTCTTCTGAATAACAGCACCAAAATGCCCTGGATTATTTTCAACAGCCTTCAATCTTACAAGTTTCCTTCCTTGGGATAGAAAGTCTTTAATAAAAGACGTAAATGACATGTTTTATGACTTTGCTATAACAAATTTAATAGGCTGTCGTAAACACGCTGTGTACGCGGCCATTTTTCCGGTGTTTGTGACCTTCAGCATCCCGACCCCGACCTTTATTAAATTTGCATCACGTTTGATTTTTTTAAACGGTCATCTGGACCGACGTTTTCTTAAAAGTTGTTGGTCCAGACAAATTTTTACCGGCCTTGCCAACAGGACTGACGGATTTCGACAAGTCTGATAGCCTAATGTCAAAAATGTCAGAAATAATTCAACTGATTATTTTCAAATGAAATAGATAAGAAAGGCCTAGGCCTTAATTGTATACTGGTCCTGGTAACCTAGCTGTAGGGCACCTCCTGTTTGTAAAGGTTTGATCCTACAGGTACCACCTCAGAGGTGTGTCATAGACATTTGTAGTAAGGTGGGACGATACAACTTTTTCTATATCAATACATATCATGATATTAAAGCCACGATAGGATATGTATCACAATATTTTGAATTGGTTAATTAAAAAATCTTTTTGTAGCGAAATGAAAAAAATTTCTTCACAAATAAGAATAATTTATTCGTAAACAATGTATATCAATGTTTCCCCAGCTTTCGGCCAAATTAACTGCTTCAATGGATAAAAATGCCGATTCGAAATCAAAAATTAAAAAGTAATTCTTGCAAAAGTCCACAAAGATTTTGTTCATAAACCTTAACCTCAAGCCTGTTACAATTGATCTCTAGCCCTTTGAAATAAAGGGAAAACACATATCTGTCATAAAACAAAATAATTCCACTCAAGTGGTGTTAATTATTATGTATTTCATATGAATATTTATGTTTAGCACACTTATCTTGTATAATAAACCAAAAATGTTAAGTAAACAAAGAAAAAAAAAAAAGAAAGATTTTTTTGCGATTATTTGAGTATTTTTACTTACCTGTCAATACTTGTATCATCCTCACACAGAATTGATATTATGGATACAGTGTATATCTGTATATTGTCTACACCCTAATATGTAGTGATGTTATCGATACAGTGTATATCGGTATATTGTCTACATCCTAATATGTAGTGATATCAGATACAGTGTATATCGGTATATTGTCTACACCCTGATATGTAGTGATGTTATTGATACAGTGTATATCGGTATATTGTCTACACCCTAATATGTAGTGATGTTATCGATACAGTGTATATCGGTATATTGTCTACACCCTAATATGTAGTGATGTTATCGATACAGTGTATATCGGTATATTGTCTACACCCTAATATGTAGTGATGTTATCGATACAGTGTATATCGGTATATTGTCTACACCCTAATATGTAGTGATGTTATCGATACAGTGTATATCGGTATATTGTCTACACCCTAATATGTAGTGATATCAGATACAGTGTATATCGGTATATTGTCTACATCCTGATATATAGTGATATTATTAATACAGTGTATATCGATATATTGTCTACATTCTAATATGAAGTGATATTATCGATACAGTGTATATCGGTATATTGTCTACATCCTAATATGTAGTGATATTATCGATACAGTGTATATCGGTATATTGTCTACACCCTAATATGTAGTGGCTCTTCCTTTCCTAAGGCGCCAGAATTAGAAGTGAAAGTCACCTGCAGGCTTTTGGATATGATCTTAAAAATGTAGGTCCCATGTCACATCATGAAGATCTTAACCTTGTTTGTCCATAATTGCCACACATAGGATAAAATTTATGATACTTCACCTTAAGCAAGTGATGTCTTTTTACATGTTTTAGAAGTGGGGGGGGGGGGGGGGGAGTCATGTACCATAATATGGGTACATTTACTCATAAATATGAAAGGCCACAGTTTACAGATTTCTTATTTGATTTAATAGATTAAATAAAAATGGCACTAGCTGAGCCTCTGTCCAAGAAAACTGGAAAAATGGAAGCAAGTGATGATGACAGAGATAAAAATTTGCCAGATCTCTCGACAGAGGAAAGTCAAAATAGTGAAGCAAATGATAAGGAGGAAAATGTAAATCTGTGTGAGCTTTCTACAGAGAGAAGTCAAAAACGGGAATTGAGTGATCTTCAAGATGATGAAAATAGCTTGGTAAGAATTAATGTGAACTTTGCAATTTATTTAATTATTTTAAAGACCACTGACCTATTTCTTACTCTGAAGCTCACATTAAGCAAAAGGGTGATTAAATCTGTTCACTTTAAGCTCACCTAAGCCAATTTGTAAAAGGCTTTTATCATGTTAGTTAGTGACCTTTTCTGATCATAGTTTGTCTACTGTCTTTCTGTCTGTCTCTGTCAACTTTTTGACCTCACCTTAGCCAAAGGCTCATGTGATCTTTACTGATAGAAGTTTGTCCATTGTTCATCCGTCTGTCCTGTAAATGTTTCCTTTTTTTGACTTCCTTTCCAGAACCACTTTGCCACTCTCATCTAAACTTGGTAGTTAGGCCATCTTTAAAAAATTGTTTGGTTGCCCTCTCCTGACCAACTGGTAAAAATGGGCTCAAAACTTTTTTCACCTCCAGGAAGCAATTATTTTTTTTATTGATGGCCTTGATTATTCAAATCAATATCCAAGCATCCTCTGTCAGATAATCTTTGTTTGCCTTGAGCATCAGGGTATCTCTACATTTGGGGAAAGCTTTTATCACACTTTATAAGGTAAAATCATATGTAATGTATTAATTGTGTAAGTGCACAGCAAGGGTGGAGACTAAACATCTTTACTATTTGTATTTTCTTTGTTCCTCAAAGGACTCAGAGAGTGAAACACCGAGTTCCAGTAAGATAAGAAAGACACACCTACCATTGACTTCCTCGGATTATACGACGGGGAACGAGTCTGAAGAAGAATTGGACTTAAGCTGCTCAGGTGAGGAAGGTGTGAACGATTCTGTAGGTAACTGGGAATATAAGGACTTACTGGGCTTGAACATCTGTTACAAGGAGACACCAGAATCATTGGAAAACTTTATCCAGGAAGTCAAGGACGCTTTCTTGAATCGGAAGGGTTTCTGTCCTGATTGCAGTGAAGTAACCAGAAGTTTAAAGAGACACCTAGAAGAGAGTTTGACATTTTCTTATGATTTAAGAAAGATTAAAGACCTTGCGTATACTTCAGTGGATTATAGAGAAGATGAGTTAAAGAAAGTCCACCGAGAGATGGAGGAAATTGTGAAAAAGATGTGGAGAAATTCTGAAAATATGCAGTCTAATAGACAGTAAGTTATAAGTTACCTGTGTTAAAATGAAATTTGGTGAAGAAAAAAATTAATTTACCTGCATCAACAGGGGTCTAGAATTTCGCTTTCTGGTTGCCTGGGGCAAGTGAAATGTCATCTCGGGAAAGATAGTTTTCATGATAAACTTACTCAAATGGGAAAGTACCAAGTTTCAGGCTGAGCCAGCAAAACTTGTCCAGTATATTAAAATAAATCAATAACAATTAACATCCAAATATCAGAATCAACACAAGGCTGCTACATTTCATTTATTTAATCTCCGAGACTCATCTCGGTAGCACAGTTGCTTGTATAATATCGGAACCAATGGAATGGCTCTAAAAACAGAATTGATGATTTAAAAAACAATGTTTTGTCTACATGTGATTAATCAGTAGATATTTTATAGGGCTGGGTATCGGCTGGGAATTTTGTATTGCAATATATATATTAAAATGTATTGCGATATGTATTGCAATATTTTTAATAACAGTTAAAATGCCTTTTTCTTATTTTATTAACCTTTATTTATAATCAGGGTGAATAAAACTACATGTTTGTTATAAATACGTTGTAGCAAAAAAAGTTCTTGCCAATTTCACTTCAGTTTTGCAACAAAATACAACCATACAACAGCAACCTTATTGTTTGGCATGATTGAAAGCATTTTTTCTGGCATCTTAAATTTCATATTTTACTTTAATTAGAAAATCCAAGCCCAAGCATTTTACTGATATACCGGTACTGGCAAAACATATCGCAATACAATATTTTTTTGTTACCAAATTGCAATATACCGTAATATCAATATTATTATGGAGCCCTAATTTTTTAACAAAATAATAAACAAGTACAAATATGTCAAAAAAAATTTAATCAATAGTTTCTTAGGCACCGCCACATAATGTCAAACACTGCCGCATTGATCAATTTTATTGACATATTGAAAAGAGAAATAACTCAATTTTCTATTTTTCCAAGATGAAAAAGAAGATCTAGTTATTCCTCTTTTCATAAATGCTAATAGATAGATGTTTTTATTAGATACACAATATATTATTTTATCAATTCATTTTGTTTGGAATAACATTTGAAGTTGAATACATATTATAAATAAGGCCAAGATAAATAAATAGTGTTATAGTTATTTATCTAGGCCTAATGTAAGAAAACAAAAAAGTAAGAATCAGTTGATATCATCATTTTGTTGAATAACTAACATGAAAAAGTTAAAGCACCTGCTTTCCAAAAAAAAAAAAAAAAAAAAAAAATTAACTTGTGTGCCGCATTGAAATTTTTGACCTGAGAAACTTTTAATTTTTTATGGCCATGGTGATTGCTTTTAAGTGGTGTATACTTAATGTTTAAGTGATTTATACTTAAGAATTCACACACACACACACACACAAATAAATAACAAAATAAAAAGTTGTTTATAGATAAATCAGTAAATTTAATTAGATGATTTTCTCTCTCTTTTTTTTTTGGGGGGGGGGGGGGGAGTGAATTTTGAAACTGGGATTCCCAGACAGAACTTTCCTGTAGACAAGTGGCTTTTAAAAAAAAAAATTCTAGACCCCTGGTCAATCATAGCTTCAGGTAAGGAGCATATTTGCAGAAATAAGCAATGAATCTTATAAAAACTGAGCTTATATGAGAGTAAGTATATGACTTTTAAATTACTAGATGTTTACCTTTGTTTTTAGCTTTTATTCAAGAAAAACAAAGGTTAATTGTTTTCCCTTCAAAAAGTATTTATCTAATTTGTAAGTGCATATGTTATAATTAAACTTATTAAGGTTTAATTAGTATCATTGCAATATCCTTAGAATTCCTTGTCGTATCCTTGTGGTTTCTTGTGGTACTTTGTGGTAAAAAGATTTGCCATAAATATATATGCATTAAAAATACAAATTTCACATAAAAAAATCATTAATAAGGATTATAGTATGAAAGTACTACAAACAACAGATTGAATAACACAAGTGCAACTTGGCTAATAATGTGAATTGAGGTTAACTCAGTGTTTGAATTTGTACACAAGAAAATGTTTATTTAAAAGTGTTTTAATAAGCAGGACAATGATTTGGAAGAACCTAGAGCAATTTCAAGTACAGAAGAAAGATTTTTATTTAAATAAATTGATTTCTTTGAACATAATCTGATGGACTTTGCACAGTATAAGCACAGATAATTAAAACACAAAAAAGATACATAGGGAATAGAAAAATATTACCTAGAAATTTAAAGAATAAATAGTTAGAGAAAAAAGTTTTAGCTGGGGAAAAAAAATTTGTACTACAAGGTTATGGAAGAGTGCTTGACTTTGAAATAGGCAGGGAGACTATCTTTAATTAATATTGACAAAATGAGCTTTGCCTTATTTCAAAACCAAATACATGTAAATAAATAAACAGCTGTAGAGAGACATAACACAGTTTGCACATATTAAACATTTTTATGATTGATTTCTCTCAGCTTGTTATATTAATGAAGGATAGTTCTTCTATTCCTCAGTAACACTTGCTATGATATCATCTTAAATGGAGAGAAAGTTATGTGTGACTGTAGTAACTATGCCTATTGTGTGGTCTTTCTAGTCAAAGAAATAAAATGTTTCCCAATTGTCAACAAATTCAACCTTGTTTTATGCTTTCTTTTACTAAATCTAGTCACTTAATTTACAAATTTTTATTTGCAAATTTACTAGAAGAAATTGATTAGAATTATTTGACTGTCAAAAATTATTTTACAAGCTATCAGTCATCAAAAATTTACATTTTCTATACTTATTTATACTGAGTAACATGTTTTACCTTATGCCAAACCCGACTGAATAACGATCCTGACCAAAAAAATGAACTGAACCGGAAATTAGAGATTTTGCACAGTGTATCAAACCGAGAAAAAATACTGCAGTGAATCGATACCGCGGTGAACTCTTTCACTCCTATCCCTCATCCCCCTGCTATTTTAATTCTTGGGGACAATCCTGTTATATTGGTAAATATAGACACCTGTTGACTTGCAAGGTCGTGCATTTATATGGCCAACATGTGCCAATGTTCACCAATATAAGTTCAATAACGCTATAATATTATAATACCAATGAACTTGGCACTTAGACAAGGCCATTGTTAAAAATATTTTGTTTGATGTACTCCGACCCACAGTTTTGAAAGTGGGTAGGTAGGTAGGTTTTTTTTTTGATTTTTTTTACTTTACAGTATTGAACAAATTGAAAATTGTCATAAAAATCACAGAGTCAGTAATTTATTGATTTTTTTCATTACACACTGGATAGCTAGACAGATTTAAGTATGGCTCCGTGTAAAAATCATGCAGGGGGTGATACATGGGGGGTTTCAGAATTTTTTCAAACTTTGCATGTTGGTAGAGTATGCTAAGATACTACAAAAAATAAAATGATTTTTTATCAATTCTGTGTCTGGTTGCCATGGCAACAGTTAGACTGTTTTCGGTAAAAAATGGCTGAAATTTCCTCTAAAAATAGGCAAAAATATCAATATTTCATATGAAATTAAAAGAAAATCAGACAATAAATCACATTTTTGTTTATTTCTCATTCAAATACAGCTCAAATAGTAACTTTTCATAATTAATCAAAATATTTCCATGTCCAGTAAAATGTTCTAATTTTAAGCTGAAAAGGGGAGATAATCCATATTGACAAAAACAGCAAAATATCAATTTTTTGAGGATTTTCAGCTATCAAAAAATTAAAAAACCCTACAGCCAAACCAAAAGGCCATGCTAGTTTCATAGACACCATACCCTATAGAAAATAAAATAAATAAAACATTTTTGTGCAAATGATTATTATTTTCCCAAAATGATTGACGAGTTTCATATAAAAAATGGCAATTTCCCTTTTTTTGTCACAGTACAATATATGCCATACATGTATATGTATGCATGTAAAAGGAAATTGACATTTCAACACAATTTCTTTACATTTCCAAACTCAAATACAACACAATTATTTACTTATCTTAATTAATCTAAATATTTTCATGACCTGTAAGATGTTCCAATTTTAAGCTGAAAAGGGAGATAATCCATATTGACAAAAACAGCAAAATATCAATTTTTTGAGGATTTTCAGCTATCAAAAATTTAAAAAACCCTACAGCCAAACCAAAAGGTCATGCTAATTTCATAGACACCATACCCTATAGCAAATAAAATAATAAAAACATTTTTGTGCAAATGATTATTATTTTCTCAAAACGATTGATGAGTTTCATATAAAAAATGGCAATTTCCCTTTTTTTGTCACAGTACAAAAAATATGCCCTATACACATATCATGAATATATACCGGGTATGCATGTAAGAATAAATTGACATTTCAAAAAAATTTCTCAATTTTCCAATTTGAAATACAACACAATTTTACTTTTCATTTAATCAAAATATTTTCATGACCAGTAAAATGTTCTAATTTTAAGCTGAAAAGGGAGACGATCCATATTTACAAAAACAGTATCATATCCCATTTTTGAGGGGTTTTTTTCAGCCTAAATTTTTTTTTTAAAGTCCAACAGCCAAATCAAAAGGTCACACTTGTTTTGTACACACCATACCCTATGGGTATGATACATATGGTATTATACAAAAATTGAAATTGCATTTATTTATTTTTTTTTGGGGGGGGGGGGGGGTTAATATATTGATCAACAACCATCGAGGGACAATATTTACTTCCTTCTTTAGGATTGGTGAAAGCATACATCTAGGCAAGCCAAACCATTATAATGACCTCAAAAACAGAAATAACTGTATAATATACAACTTGACTTTTATTTTCATGATAATATGAAAATCATTTCATGTTTCCCTCTTGGTTACACCTTTCAATATACACCACAAGAATTTTGAACGAATTTTAACTGCATGCAATTGCATGTATTAATTAAATGAATGATGTTTTTTACACATCATTACCAAGTCATCTGCTTGTTTTCCATTCAATTTTACCAGTTTACCCCACATCAAAATTATTAATTACTGGTACATGTATCAAAATCATTAATTGATAGATGTAAACAATATTTTAATAGTTTACATCTTTGTAAGATGCAACAATGCTGAACAAAATATCACTAATCTCCGATGCTTCTCTTTTGTAGTAACTGACTGTCCTTTGTTTATTTATGAGTCTCTTCTAGTGAAATATAAAACTGTATCCTAAAGGTGCTGAAGATCCATAGGAGATGAGAGTCCATGCCTGATTATCTTTATCCAAGTACCAGCATTGAATCCATTCTTTAAACTCTAATCTTTGTTATTCCTAAAATAATAGTTACATATAATTATCATTTACCACATTAAAACTCATTGTTCTACATTGATTTAAAGGTATTAAAGGGTTTTTTTTTAAATTTATAAATTACTTTACATGGAATCTCAAGTTTACATGTATGTAATGCAGTAATTTCATGTAAAATCTCAAATGGTTGCATGTGCATGGCATGTGGTCCCCCACCTTTGGAGTCTTATTAGTTGGTGGTGTTCAATGATGTTTTTCTTGCTGTCTCAAAAATACTGTCAGCTTTTCCTTCATAACCATGATGCAAACCATCTTGCGCATTCTGTGAAAATGATATAGGGTTTCATTTCAAAAGTATATAATTCAAATTACTAACTTATGAAATATGTAAAATATCTTTACCATATTTTCTATCATTTATGTCTCAGGTTTTAACCATATTACAATTTAAACTGTAACCAGTTCTGAATTCTGTAATCTTGCTACTGATTAAATTAAAACTACAAAATCAAATACCCGGTACTCTCACAGTACCTGTTATAAAACACTTTTGGGTCTTCCCTTTTCATTCTATCTCTTCAGTCAAACAAGTTCTTGATCATTTTGAAAAACAACAAGGAATATTTTTCATCTAGATTTATATGCAACTAGATAAAAACCCGCGCAAGCGCGGGGAATACGACTACCGACAGAAAATATATTGTAGTTTCTACTGACAGCCTACAGGATTATAGCAGGAAGAAATACTTCGTTCAAAATCCCGCATGAAGTAGATATACGTCTCCACCCCACCCCCCCCTTTTGTAAAAACTTGAAAAATTACAATTTCATTAATTGACGTTTATTGTGAAACCTGTTTTATTATGTTATGGATATTGTACTTTAGATGCTGTTAAGCAGCGAATATGCACATTATACTGATAAATTGATTGTTTTGGGGGGGGGGGGGGTGTAAAAATTCACAGGTACTTGGGTCTTGGTTTATAAATATGTATCTACCTTATTGATATATAAAAAATATACTTTAAACAGTGCGACATTTAACTCCGGACACGACATTTGTCCGGACTTTCGCCAACCACTTTTCCAAAGATATGTGGAAACCATTTATGTCATCTGATGGGATTTTTTAAAACTTAAAATTAACTTTTTAACATATCAATAAGGTACATACATATATATAAACCAAGACCCAAGTACATGTGTAAAAAATTATTTTTTATAGCTTTTGACGCCCTATGAATAGGCCGAGTAATTGATACAAAAGACTGTATTCAGAAAAAAATTGAAACGTATTGATTAAAGCACAAAATTCGGGTTTGTTGTCACGATGCTCTCAGTGAGGAATATATCTATACAAATTTTACCGATAAATTAATAAGGAAAACCTACTACATATATGTAATATATGTAATTATTTCAATGACCATTCATTTTTTTTATTTATGTACATGCAGCTATAATCGTCTCGTTTTTTTCTTTTTAACATCGGGATCGATGCTATATGATGTTCTAGAAGCTTCCGTCAATATTAAGATCGGTGAATGACGAAAATAATTTGCACATTTCCCTTTTTAATCGGTTATCACAACTTATTTCCTTTATATCATTTAAATCAAGTTTTGATTGAATAATTCGGTGATGACGTTTTATGAAATAAATAAACGATTGCTTGTTTTCAGTTTCATTAAAAATCGCAAGTAACTTAGATCCGCCAACCGGAAACGCCACCTTTCTCACGTTTCTGCTATTTCATGGCTCTTTATAAAAAATGAAAGTAGACTTTTCATTTAATGTTCAATACTTACTATGCAAGTGAAATCTAAATATAGTTTACGGACATCATCTTGTATCTAGTGTATTCTTAGAGGAGTAAGTAAGAACTCTGGTGCACCCGTTTCGGAGTTTATTTGCAAAATTTATTAATTTATAAGTATAGATATGACATACACAGAGAGATAGAGAGAGAGAGAGAGAGAGAGAGAGTAGGTACATGTATAAAGACAACTAAATATACCTATTTAACAACCCTATTCAGATTAAAAATGTTGTTGGGCCAGTCAAATGTAAGTCAGCAATAGCTTGACAAGACTAATAGAATTTTCAGTGATATATCTTTTACAAATTATACCATCAGTAATGTTAAAAAATGTGCATAAACAGCCTTGTCTGAAAAATTATATATATTTATTAAATAAATCAAGCTTTTTGGTGGTTTTTTATATCTTGGTTGATTTTTTTTTCCTGTCCATACTTGATTTTGTTATTTAGTTATCATTTCTGACTAGTGCCATGTTGACATGGGTAGAGCAAACAAGAGGCCAATTGGCCACAATGCTCACCTGAGTCTAATATATATTCATATGTAAAACTTTGATCCCCATTGTGGTCCTACCCTATCCCAGGGGTTCATGATTTCAACAGATTTAAATCTACACTACTTGAGGATTCTTCAATATATACATGTATCTGTATGACTAATCATGGCTTTGCTGTTCTTAAAAAGAAGAATTATCACTATCTAGCAGGGATGGGCACGATTACTGAAAAATGTAATCGATTAATAATCGATTACTTAGAGGAATTTTGTGTAATCGATTATTAATCGATTACACTCATTTTTGTCCTGTAATCGATTGTAATCGATTACTTTGGAAGATGTAATCGATTAATAATCAATTACTTCCAAGTTTTTATCTCTTCAAATATCAAAGCAATATTTAAATGGTAAATGTTGATGTTATCCACTGAAGTTTGAATGTGTTCCTGCAGTTTCAGTGCAGATTCTTTAAAGGTTTTATTCTGGCTAACATTCTCACTAAATGCCCAAATGAGGGATTCTCTACTTATAGTGGAGACATGATTCCTACAATAAAATATGCCAAGGAATTAATTATTCCTTTCAACCTTGGATCTGAACCTCCATATTTATTGACTTGTTGAAAAAATTATTTAATATTTTATTGTGAATTACTTCATTAGAAGTATTTGGGCTGCCCGTATGTTGACAGTACACATTAAACATTCCTGTACGTGTCTTTTTTAAAAAAAATAAGTAAATTAGAATGAGCTCTTAGTAATAAACATGTAAATTAAATGTGTCCTTAAGTAATTTAACTAATACATGTAGCACAATTTCATTCTGTATTGAAATAAGTGTTTTGAGAGCTATTAATTGTTTTAATAATACTGTTTGTCTTCAACGGAATGAAAGTTAAACACTAGGTAGTTCACAGTTTACACCTCATTATCTGCAATCAGGGATATGTCTTAGTCAATTAATTAGCCAATTAAGATAAGCCAACACAGTGACACTTACTCCCTCTCTTACAGACACTTATAACCTAGCTCTCACTGATATAAAAGCAACCTTACAATTTTGAATGAAAACATGAGAATGATTTTGCAGTTTTTAAAGTTACTGAAACACAAGTTTGAAGTTGTTTAAACATTTTCAGATATGAATAAGTATTTCCATCTTCTTTTTTTTCGAGTAGAATGTAGTTTATTAACCAAATTATTTATATTTTATACAGCACTTAAATCTGTTTTTGTTATTTATAATTTTCTATTACAAGACAACATCTGAAATATGAAAAAGGACATGCAGCAAGAGGACAGTGGGTCAAACGTAAAATGCACATGAAAAATCTGTATATTTTATTAATAAATGGTTGAAATACACTTCTGAATTATTTAATACTAGACCAGTAGGTCTATAATGCAAATTTTATTGAGAACATTATTAAACTTATGATAAAAAAGGTTAGGAAATCCAAACATTACACTAGGTGGTTTATATTTGATATTTATGTGTGATTGACTGGAAAAATAACATCCATTTATGTATAAAATAATCGAAAGTAATCGAAAAAGTAATTATAATTACATTGAAAATTTTAGCTGTAATCAATTAAATTACGATTACAAGTAATCGAAAATCTCTTCGATTACAGATTACTGTTGATTACTTGAAAAACAGTAATCATTACAATTGATTACGATTACTCGATTACGATTACCCCATCCCTGCTATCTAGTGTGAAACTTTGATCCCCCATTATGGCCCTATACTACCAGTATGTCTAATTCTTGAGAAGAAGATTTCTAAAGATTGTTACCTAGTATCTACATTTTTTTAAGTAAAATTTTGACCACCCATTAAAGCCCCATGCTACCGCCACTTTTTCACAAAAGTTTCAATCCTTTTGGCACAGTTTTTCATGAGAAAAAGACTGATAAAGTTTTTTTTTACATATATATTTCTATATGTAAAACTTTGATTGCTTATTGCGGCCAATCCATATCCCTTGGGGTCATGATCCGAACAAACTTCCCACTACATTATGTAATAAAGCTTTCACATAAGTTTCATCTTTTCTGTTCCAGTGGTTCTTGAGAGGAAGATTTTTGAAAGATTCATTAAATTTTTACTAATCTTTAATTATCTCCCCTTGAAAGAGGGCAAGGCTCTTCATTTGAACAACATTGAATCTCCTTCATCCAAGGATGCTTTGTGGCAAATATGGTTGAAATTTGCCATGCAGTTCTGGAAGAAGATGAAAATGTGAAAAGTTTTAAACAAAGATGACAATGACACCTGGAACAACAACAGACAATTGACAAAGTGTGATCAGAAAAGCTTACTGGAGCCTTTGGCTCAGGTGAGCTAAAAAATCAAAACCTATCACATAAAGCATTTACTTCTTTTAATTAGTAAAATTTACATGTTCATTTTCAATTTGAATTACCATAAACCAGGGGCCTAAAATAAAAATTAATTTGTTTGCAGTTACCTACCCACGCACTGAAAATGCACCTGACCCAAACTTTTTTTTCAGCCATTTTGTATTATTATTTTTTTTAAGTTTCAGTTTTTCAGGATATTGAAAATGTTCTATTTTTTATCTTTGTTTTTATCAAGTGAAGCTTATTTATGTTAAGTAACCCTTGAAGTATGAATATCTCTATAAATTGTTATCTAATAAAAGTCTGAAAAATAACTTATTTAAAAAAAAAAAACCAACTACCTATCCACTCTAAAAATTATAGGTCGGCAACTGCAAACTAAGAATTTTTTAAGCTAATGGCCCGGGCCTTCCCACTGAATCCCTTAAATCTGGCCACGTTAAATAATGGTTGTTGTATGGGACATGTATTGATTAATGATGAGAGCACAGACAATGTTTCATACTAAGTCTTATATGATGATAAAACGTTCTATTGTTAAGATGATATTCTCCTACAGATCCGTTTTAATGAAAGAATGTGTATTAGCAAGGTTATGTAGCAAAACAAACCTGGCAATAAGTATTATTTAGAGAATGAGACGGGTTCTGTATCGTAGATACAAATTTGGGGGTGTCTCCGCCCCCCAGATTTGTATCTACAATACAGAACCTGTTGAGTTCTCTAAATGATTTGTGACATGATCAATCAAGAAAAAGCACTGCCCACTTTATAGCTGTGCAGCATTTAAACTTCTGCCAGTGTTTGTTTGTTCTCTCTGTAGATGAGGCCTTGATGGGGAGTATGCCTCCGCAGTAGATATATATTTCCACGGACAACGTAAGATTTAGTCAGATTAGTTTGACAACAGGGGA